ATTATAATGAATATAATATATTGTGATCTATATCGAGTTTAAAGATAATCAAGATTCTCCTTTTTTGAATACACTTGTAAATAACATATGAAACATAAAATATTGCATTTTTTATTTTTTTATTCGTGTGATGCAAAACTTTTGGCAGCCACTGTACAGTAATAGAATTGCTTGAATGAAACTGTTATGAAGTTTTGCTAAGATATATAATATATTATTATTAATTGAGCTTAAAGTGATGTATTTTATTCTGAATATTATTCTGTACATTATTTTAAGATATTTATTTCATATTTGTTTTATAATTTTAACTTGTGTTTTTATTTTAAATTGTATAGAAACTTTATCTATTTGAGTATTTTTTATTTATTTATGTTATATAAAGGAAAATATATAAAAATAATGATTCTCAAAGCTTGAATAAATAGAATTGAATATTTTAAGTTGATATTTGATCATGAACAAATAATCCGTTATTAGTTGTAAAGACATAAACAACTCTTTTTAACCGAAATGGTAAAATATCTTATTTTTCATTTCATACATTAATTTACAAAGTTGAGTTTCTTAAACGGTTTGCTATTTACTTAATATGTTTATTAAAATGCTTGTCCAAACTATTTTTCAAAAAAAAAAAATTAATTTCGGTCATCACTGGTTAAATTATTTGCTTATAATAAGGCTTATCAACAGCTTCTCCAAGTTAAATCAAATTTCGGGTTTTAATTTTTCACTCTAAAGATTTAGAATTAGCTTCAGTTTGCGAGTGAATGGTTTTCTGGTATCAATAATTTTATATTCATACCATCTTAGTAATTATTAAATTATTATCCAATTAATAACAATATTAAACATACCGAAAAAAAATAATAATATCAACGTTTTCATATTCAATAGTATAAGAAAATGTCGTTATGAAAATTCTGTTTTAATGCATTGAAGTTTGCTTAGTGGTGACAATAAATCAATTTGTACTAAAGATTACATATAATTTGTTAAAGCATAATTTGATGTCTTCCTTTATCACTATATAACAAACAATCAGTTCCATAACGATTATGATTGAGTAAAATATTGTATAGGTATACGCTAATTAAAATTTGTAAACATGAAGAAATCGACTTACCATCATACACAAATGAAACACAAAAATGAAGACACAACATTTGATTTTCAGAGATTGACTTTTATGATATCATGTATACATTTGTTTACCATACAATCAAAGATGAAACTAAATACTCATGGTTAAATGTCAAAAAAGCAAATACCATTGCGGAGAATGTTCTAGAATAGATATGATTATAATATATACAAGGCAAATTCGTTAAGACGAAGTCACGCTAAGCCGAAATTGCATTAAGCCAAAGTTTTTCTGGTTTACCAAATTTTTTATTATATATAAATTCGGCTTTGTGCGAAATTTGGTAAAACGAAAAGCCGAATAAAGTGTCTCTGCCCCCGACCTTCATCTTATCGAGTTTGCCTTGTATCACGATTATCAAGAAAATCGGAGCTGTATTGGAGGTTTTAAATATCACAGACGAATTTATAGATGGTCTAACGGAAATAAAGATATATTCAAACTAATAAAAGAAAGCAATGAATTAATTATGAAAAAGTATTTGAAAGGACCCCTTTTTGAAAGGTTTACATATGTTGAACATTGTTACATTGAACTCAGATAATTGGTTTACTAACGAATTGTAAATGCTACAAAGGTCGAGGACTGGACTGAATGATTGCGCAAAGTGAGATTCACAGGAATTTTATAGGTCTCCTGTGTCAATTTTTCACGGAGATTGAACAATCAAGGGTAAAGGGTAAAATTCAAATTAAAAATTTGAAATTAAGAAGCAAATTTACTAATAAAATTAAAGAATATCAAACAAAAATGAATAATTAATAATAGGATTAAAGCCAATATTTAAAAAACAAAAATAACTTCAAAATAATAAATTCAATATTAAAATAACATCAAATTCAAAAGTAAAAAAGGTAGGCAATACCAAAATAATAAAATCAATCTCAAAAAATCAAAAGCGATGCATCAACTTGTATGAAATCTGAACTTAGTTAAGTATGAGTTAAAATAATTTTATTATTTAGTTATTTTTCTTCAAACCATATATTGCATGTATTCGAGAACTATCCTTTATAAATAATTAGCTTATTATATACTATCTAGACTACAGATCAATAATAATTCTGAAGAAGTGTGTATTTATTTAAAGATAATAAACTTTATTTTATTTTTAAGAGATTCATTACAAATTTTCATTTGATTAATTAATGTTATAGTTCTATTAAACTAATTTTTTTTCTCTTCTACTCTAAAGCCTTCTCTATTTATAGTTGAATTTCCTCCCACTTTTCTCATCACGATCTCACTTATGAATCATTTTTGTTTTTATTCATTGTGGCAGATTAAGGATTAAAATGAAATTTTCTCTATTTTAATATGAAACTTTCGTATTTTTTTGGGGCAATATTCTAGGTTTTTTTTGGAATTTGGATTAGGATTTAGGGTAACTTTTGTTAATAGAAGAGTATATATGGATTTCAGAGGCATTAAAAGAGGATTCAAAAAGACCCCAATTTCATTTTAATCCAATTTCATTTTAATCCAATTTCATTTTAATCTGCCACATTCATTAGTCGGCACCCTATTGGCACACCTTCAAATATTCGGGATTTATTGGTGTACTCTATATCAGACCATCCTTCCCAACGTGCATCGCTGCATCCCGGTTGCCACTAATCACGAGAGCTGATCCCGTGCGCGAATCGGGATCTACGTGATGACGTAGTCCAATTCCATGCTACCGCTGTATGTTAAACGATAATTGATCCAAAAATGGAAAATTAAGGAATTACGCAATTTAATATTTAATGTATGCACTAAATCAATTCTGGAACAGAATAGTTGCTGATCTTGCCATTATTGGAGTTAAAGAAATTACAGATAGCGATAGTGACGAAAATTCAGCAAGTAAACCTATAGCAAATGCATGTATCTTACAGTATAAATTAAACCCATTTATCTTCATACCGATACTGATCCTAAAAACTCTCGCTAACAAAATAAAAAAAATGACGACCGATTTATTGACTTTACATTCGAACAAATTGGCTAAATTTTATGAAAAGGGCAATTTTTGTGATATTTCGATAATTGTTGGCAATGAAAAAGAATCACAGACCTTTCCCGTACATTCGTCTATTTTAATGGCGCAATCCCAATATTTCGCTGTAGCTCTTTCCGATACGTGGGTGAAACGAGAACCAAATAAAATGATTATTTTTAAGAAACCAAATATTTCGCCGCATGTTTTTGAAATCTTATTAAGGTAAAAAAACTATGACTTGTATTGGATACATGTGTACAGTAAATAATATTTATTTTATGATGGGTTAGATATATGTATTGTGGCAAGATCGACTTGAAGGAACATGGAGTGCCGACACTTTTAGACTTATTGATTGCTGCGGATGAGTTAGTTCTTGACGAATTGCTTGAATACATTCAAAACCTTCTTTTGGAGCATCATCTCGACTCGATGACTGAAAATTTTTCCTTGATCAACAAAGTCGTATTCGAACATGACTCTTTTACGAAACTCCACAAATTTTGCACAGATATTGCATGTCAAAACCCTGTCGCTATTTTTCAATCGAATGATTTTGCAAAACTTCAAGAAAACGCGTTAGTTGCTTTGCTCAAACGAGATGATTTGAACCTTCAAGAAATTGAAATTTGGGAGAAGGTTCTTGAATGGGGAACTGCTCAACCTTTCGATTCTGAGAATGTTGATTTTACGACTCCCGTGGAGAAATGGACACAAAATGAATTTAGACAATTAAAAACTGTGCTTAAACAATGTTTACCATTGATCCGTTTCTTCCACATAAATTCTGCTGACTTTTACAATAAAGTATTGCCCTATTCGAAACTATTATCAGCAAAGGTATACAAGGATTTATTGCATCATTATTTGATTCCAGGAAGCGAGGATCTTCAAGCTAACAAACATCCTATTCGAAATTCAAATAACAATAATGCTGCTGATTCTACAATACTTGCCAAAAATCAGATTAATAAAATAAGTGGATGGATAAAGTCTCAAGATACAAAATTAGCTCAATCGTTCGGTTTAAAGCTTTTATTACGAGGCAGTCGAGATGGATTAACTGCAGCTGATTTTCATCGACTTTGTGATAAAGTAGGTCCAACAGTAATTGCGATTAAGGTTAAAGGTTCAGGAAAAATAATTGGTGGATATAATCCATTGGAATGGAATTCAAACGGTGGATGGTATAGGACACAAAATAGCTTTTTATTCCAATTTGACTCGAATGAATCCGATGGATTTATAAGTAAAGTTAAACGAAAAAGACATAGCATTTATTGCTATAAAACAGAAGGACCAAGTTTTGATGATTTAAGGTTATTCGATTCATATAAAGGTAACTATTGTAAAAATGTTTCATATGAACAAGCTCTGTTGAACTCTGATAGTACAGAAATCACTTTTGAGATTGATGATTATGAAGTATTTCAAATTTTGCAAAAATAATTTATCTTAAAAAATTTTTCTTGTTTACAAATATTTGTCTAAAATACTCTTAACTGAAGTTTATAAACAATTTTATTGTTTAATTTACGAATTTATTATTCACTAATGAATAGTTTTGATTTAATTATGTTTATGGTAATAAATTAAAAACTTATTAACATCGTTCGGGAATATTTAAGATTTTTAATTTAACATTGTATCACATGTACTGTGCATGTATTGTCAAATAAGTTTCAATACATGTACCCGAAATTATCATCCAATCAATCACCGGATAGTTGAACGGGACGAATCAATTTAACTCATGTTAAGAGTAACATGATAACGAACTTCATACCCCCAATGTCATCAGCATATTATCTTCGGCTCTACAATCTGTTGGTTTTTTGTCTTTCAATGCGTCTGATTTTAGAATTTTAATATATCATACAACCACATCTTAATTTGATCGCAAAAATTCTGGTATACAAACGCTAATATTAGTCCATAAAGCCGCTCAAGTTTTATTCTCGACCTATATAATGAACGCTGTCGCAGCCAACAGATTAGAATAACTATAGCTTTTTTAATGTCAGCTTCTTCCCTTTCTTTTTCTTTTTATCTCTTCAACTTTTTCTATCTTGACAGCTCTTTTTTTGCCTCTGATATTTGACGGTGTTTCTTTCGCATGGTCTATTTTTGAAACCTTAGAAATTGCTTATTTTTACTTCGCTTATAATCTCTAATATGATTAGCTTTTATTTAAACACATATCAATTTTTTTGTTCTCGTTTAATTTTCTTTTATTCATATCATTCAGTCATGCTTATAAGAAATTCTAAAAGCTTCTTCTACATAATATTTAATAATGATAAAATGGGATTCATCTGTAATACATTTATTGGGCTATCGACATATTTTTTTATTCAGCTTAGATGATTGATGACATACATCGAATTTAATTTTTGACAGTGCGTATGAATTATAAGTTCGTATTATCATTACAATACATAATTTTGCCATAAAATCATGAAAATTTGAATTTATCAATTTGAGTCGCTTCATAAAATGTGGGAATACAAGAGAACGTTGAAATACGAAATAACAATAAAAATAATTTCTTTAATATGCGTTTCTTAAGAAATTTACAAAATGTGTCGCTTAAATCATATTTATCGAACTAGAAAATAGATTTTGATGCATAAATAAAGAAAATGCCATAAAAATTTTAAAGCTTAAAATTATCAAAGTCAAAAAGGTAATTTAATGAAGAATCGTTGAACAATATGAACTAAATTTCAAACATGTAAGAATTTTTATAAAAATTCAATTTCAATTATCATAACAGAAATAAGGTTGGAATCGAATATTCAGTGTTATAGCATTCTTCATCTTATGCGATGCAACACAGAACATTAATATATTTCCAGATAAAGTCATAATTTACAGAGGGGCGTAATAAAAATTAGGATGTTTATAAATTTTATTAATAAAACATAGCACATTTAAATAATGAAATTTTTTCTTTATACAAGAATTTTAATCTTGATTACTTTTACTTTAATATAAAATACAAAAAGATATTGTTAACAAGATTAAAAAATTTTATATAGAAAAAATTCAAATTTACTAAGTTAAATTTTACAGTAGTCCTGGTCACCTTTCTGTATAATCTTTTCTTCCTGAATTTTTGATTAATACATGTACAATACCCACAGAAAGTATCGCCCGATGCAAAATTAAAAATCAAAATTTAGATCATTTTTCAATTTATTTGATTTTCGTCAATTTATACACCAAATAAAAAATAAAATTTATTTAATATTTAATTAGCCCTCCATTTTAGTGTTGCAAGCTGGCAAAAATTTTCAGATGACTAAGCTATTATTTTTTTGAGAACTGAGCCAGCTCAGCTGATATTATTTCCAAAAAAGGCAATATAAAATTTAATAGTATTTGGTAATCTTAATAACTATTAGTTTTCTTAATTTTATTATTTTAATCTTAATTTTCAAATATTATGTGACTTAACTATATTTATATTATATTTTAAAAATAAAAAATAATAAATATATTTGAAATTAATTTATTTTAATTATCTGTAATTATATTTTCAGAATCTAAAAAAAGTCATTCAGCTGGTACTGATATGACAGGAATTCCAATATATATATATACTATTTTTGATAATATATATAAAGTGATTATATATTTTTGCTATCAAATAAATGGATTTTCTTATTGATATTCATCACTTATAATAATATATTTTGATATCTCAAAAGTGAATGATATAATTATAATTTAATATTAATAGAACTTTTGGATATTATTATATTTCATTTTTAAAAATACAGTCATCTTCAATGTAAGTAATAATAATATTATTATAATATTAATAGCCAAATTAGAAAATTCAGTATTTATTTTTCACAAAGAATTTAATTTGTCATATTATAATTATTTTCTAATTTAAAAAAAAGATTTTTAAATCATGAATCAAGAATTAATACAAATCAAGCAATTTCTTTTGAATATTATCATTATTTTAAACTGAAATTTCAATTATCTTTCATATTTATATAACAAATTCACTTGTAATATTAAGATTTTGCTTATATAAATATTCTAAAAGAGTATTTATTATTGAATATATTATAAATAAAGTTAAATATTTATTACTAATTAATATAGTTGCTAATATAAATAAATAAAAAAATTAGCTAGCTCTTCTAAAGCAAGCCAGTTATTATTAGATAATATAATATTGATTAAAGATTATTTATTATAAGAAGTTTATCTTGTTAAAATTAAATTATAAAATATTTAATAGCAAAATGCAAAATAAGAAGTCATTCAATAAGCAAAAAAATATTATTTTATTTGATTTTAATATTCAAACTAAGAATATTAAGAACTTATTTTGATTATTTATTTAATTATTAATTAATTAAATTTGAATTTTATAAAATTTCACTTTATATTTGTTATGATTTGTCAAATAAAAATTAAGTTCTTTTATATTTTTGATTAGATCTTTAACAAACTTGAGATTATCTTTAATTATTAATTGAAATATATATATTATTTAATTAAAATAAAATATTCAAGTTAATATATAACTACTTTTATATTACTAAAATTATTGATTATTTTATTTAATATCTGGTCAAATATATTTTACTTTACAAAAATTATTCAAAAAAAATTCTCAATATAATTATTAATATGTGAATAAAAAAATAATTTAATTATTAAAAAAGCCTGATAAAGTTAAAAATCAAATGTAATCCAACAAATAGTTATATTAATATAAGATATATAAATTTACAAAAAATATATTTATAAATATATTTTAATATAATTTATTTAAATAAATTAAATTGATTTACTTGAGTTCAAAGATCTGTTATAAATTAGAAGAAAATTATTATTGAATTTAAAGAGTTTTAAGTTGAATTCTATACTATTTACTAATTGAATCATAGTATTTTTTATAGTATTAATACAAGGAATCTGAATATATTTATCAATTTCACTTATAAGTTCTTGAAATTTAATATTGATAAGTATATTAAATAACTAAAGATTATTTATTAACTATATGATAAATCAGTAAGTTATTTTTGTAATAACAAAAAAAGTTTTTGAGTATATATTTATTAAAGTGTAAGTTAAGTTTTATTAGCTAAAATTAGAAAAGATTTTAATAAAATATTCATATCTTTTCAAAGTCTATACTCAGAATAAAAATGACTTTTAAGATTGCCTGTTACTATTAAAAATGAATAACCTTTCTATATACTTATATTATGTTACTCTTCCACTTGAACAGAATATAAAAACTTTCTTAGTTTATTATTTCTCTTAAAAAACTACCAGTACTAACTATTACCTTGTTTCTATTTCTTTTATATTTATTATATATAAGAAATTTACAATGAGATAAAATTTGTTATAATTTCAATTATCTTTTATTTTCCTAATATCTTATTTAATATCTTGTCTAATAGAAGAGAAGAGAAAGTCTATATTATTTATATTTGAAGAAGTACAACTTAAAAAGAGTAAAAAAAGGTATTAGAAGATATTTGAGTAAAGTCTATAAAAAGTATATTATTAATTTTTTCAAATCTTACTTTATACTATATATTTTAAACTATTTTGATTTTAATTTCAAGATTTTTAAATATTTTACTAGCATTGATATGTATCTTTGAGACTTGTCATGAGCTGATTTTTTCTTTATATATAAGCTATATTACTTAGATTTTTGAGTACTATTATCAGTTTCATCTTCCATTACTGCTTATCAAAAATTAAGAAAAAATCAGTCATAAAAATAGAAAAATTTAATATTATATTTAATAATAATTGATCAAATTCTGAAAAGTGATATGAATTTGAATTTCAGTATTATAAAATTAATATTTCTAAATTTAGAAATCACATAATGGCTAAGTCTCAAAATGTTCATGGCAGCCTGAAAACTCAGTCACAAAAAATCCAGTCACTATTCTATTTGACTCCAATACTATATTAATTCTTCATGATATTGATATAGTAATCCATTTTAAAATAATTATATCAAGTTTTTTCTATGCCATCTTCAATATAATCTTAAGTTCATTTATAGTTATTAGAAAGTTCTCATTTTTTTGAATATTATTCTTTAAATATCTTTTAAATATTCTCTATTAATTTCAGATCTGAGAAATTTACTAGCTAATTAATAATCATAATTTTATTTTCTCTTGATTTTTTTCACAGTATTATATTGGTACATTATTATATTAAAAGATTACATAACTTCTAGTTAAATCTCTAATTGCATTCTGAAATGAAAATAATTATATTTATCACAAAAAAATTAATAGTTTTTTAATTTTCCTGCAAAATATCTCCAAATTATTATAGATTTTTATCTGTTTTTAAAGATATATATCAAATAATTAATATTAAACTTTTCTTCAAGATGCTTTCAAACTCTTGATTATAATAATTACTTTCCAATTTTTTATACTTATTTCATCAGAGAAAATTATTTTCAATTAATTATAAGCTAATTTATTTTTATTTTCTTTATATTATTTAATATAAGAATATATATTTCTGAAATATAAGATTTCTTTATTACAATATGTGAGTTAAGTCTGAAATTATGTAATATATTTACAACAGTTGATAAATTACAAGTGAGATCTAAATTATTAACTATTTCATATAATAATACATATTGTTTTTCACTAGCTTCATGTATAATTAAATTCTTTTCATAATTATTTAAGACTAGTAATCTTTCTAGATATGATATAGTAATCATTATAAGTAATAAGAATTAAAAGTGATATAAATTATTTATAGAAAAAACTTGACTGTATATAACATATACAATTATATTTTAATAATGATTTATTTATTAATATGATATAAAAATAAATCTAAAAAAAATAATTCTTAGTTTTCTTTCTTTTTTTATTATAAATGAAAGAAACTTTAATTATTAATCAACAAGAAACTATAAGTCTTTTTGAAAATATAGTGTTTATAATATCCCAACTTTAGTAAAAAAAGT